CGTTCACCACAACTCTCTGGGCTCGGCCATGAGCCAAGCCATTATGTGTGACTTTGTCTCCCTGCTACAGGCTCTGAATTTGGACCTTCAATTTGTGATAGTAGTGTTTCCTAATTTAATAGCAGCTGTCTCTCCAGTGCAGTTTTTATGTTGACTAGACACTTCAGTCTCAAACAGTTACATTCATAGTTAGCAGAGCCTATATGTTTTTCAGGTAGCTATTGAAATAGTGTATCTAAGTATGGTGATTTGATTTCATATCATGCTCTTTTTTATTAAAATGATAGTTTAATACTGAACAGAATTAAGGATCTTATTTAAAGTTGCTGTTTCATGAGGAAAATGTCATAGTTTGTTCATTATTTCTTCCAAGCATTGTTTAATAGTTTGAGCTAGCTGTGCAGTCGTGTTTAGCTATATATGTTAGTTACTTTGCTGCTTGGCTTTTCTTTTTCTTGAAGCGTAACTCTGACTAATGCCATCTTTTTCTTTCTTCCCCCCCCCCAAGAAAATATTTAACCTTTCCCTTTTGCTGACTCACATGCTTCCCTGTATGGGATGTGATCCTGCTTTTAATGCATGGTCCAGCACTGGTAGCAGAGGTCCAGCTGGCAGCCCCTGCTTAGTCATTTGTTCAGGGCTTTCTGATGACTGTTGGAAATTAGCTTTTTACTGATGTCAGTTTGGAATGTCAGTCTTCGCTAGCACTTTGGAATTTTGTTTTTATCCATTATACCATCTAGCCTTGCTGTTTCTCATTTTCCAGCTGCTTTCTCTGGTTGTGCAGGTTTTTTAAAAACCAAAGTGTCTGTATACTGGCAAGAAAACCGATAGAATGAATGCCATGTCTCTCTTGGCTGTCACTAGGTTGTTAGCTTCCAGGGAAACTGCTAGCCCAGTAACAGTTGTCTCTATATGCAAGAGAAAATGCAAGTCTGCAGGTAAAGGGCTTTGCTGTTTTAAACTTTGTCTTGGTCAGGAAGTGAAAGGAAAACTCTTGTGGGTTTTTTGTTTGTTTTTTTTTTTAATTGTCTGCATGCTATGTGTTAGTATAATTGACATTTTGCTGAAAATCTGACCAACTTGTTACAGTGTTTAAATTTTCAGTTGTTTTCGATGCAAGGTTTCCTTAAGGTCTTGTTTTGTCAGTTTTACATTTCTGTAAGTTTGCAATTCAACATGATGGAATTTTTCATTTGCTTTAAAAAAAAAAAAGAGCCACAGAATACTCATAAGTGGGCTCCAGGGGATAAGGTTAAGTCAAATGCAATCGTAGTCATGATTCCTGCCCTTGATGGTGAGATCCAGTAAGGATGGAATGCTCTGAATGCTGTCTAGATACTATCCCAAATCTTTACTGAAACGTACTGCATGTTAAATATGACAAACTTCCGCAAGGACATAGATTTCTTCCTCAGAAAGAAGAGGCATTTGTCACATGATGCTGAAATATTCACATATACCTAATATGGTTTTTTTTCTTTTAAATTCTAGGCAAATTGTACTTCTTTTCTGATGGCATTCTCTTTTCTGATCCCCACCATGGCAGCATTTCCATTTCAAAAAAACATATGAGTTCCATTTCTCTCTATGATGGGGTGAGTATTTTGTTTGTTCCTACTGTCATAAACTCTCTATCAATTTTTAACAGTACTTCTGTGGGCTACTGGTACAAAATTTTGATTGCAGTTGCAGTTTTGTGTGTGTGTAAAACTAGTAACTGACGCAAATCTCTATACTTTTGGTATTGGTTAGCTTAGTTAGATAAGCTTACTAGCTAAACTGTAGGGAGGAGTGAATTTTGTATTAGACTATTATCAATGTGGTATGGAAATAGTAGTGTGGAAAATTGCATTTTTATTAAAAGAAAAATTGCTGAACACTGCATTCATCAAACATCTAGAAATCTTAGGTGATGGATAGAGAAAAGTTCAGGGCATTGTGAAATCATATGGTGTATCGGAGGGTGAAATGCTGCCTTCTGTTCAAAATATATTTAACCTTCAGTCAAATGTCCATGGCAGTGTACTACTTATCTCTGGAGAGGTCACGAGCAGTGTCTGTCTACTGTCGCAGAGTGTTGTATAACTGACAGGGTGAAGGGACTGGTTCACGTTTCCCAGGCAGAGAAGTGAGAAGGAAAGACATGTTGCATGGAATTACACGTATTCTGAGTAATTACAGTAAAAGACACAATGTTAGGTGTAGACTTCTGCCATTCTTGTGATCAACTTACATCACTTCACTTGGCCAACTTGCCATGCTAGTAGTTTGGTCTTCTGGCTTAGCGGGAATTGAGAGTTAGGTTAATAATGGCAACTCAGCTTTTTTTTTTTCTTCTTCAAGGCAGAGATGTTGGGTTAACTATCACCTTTTCAGAATGGAAAAGAGATTATTTTGGTTGGTTATTGTTTTCTAAGCACGGCGGGGGGGGGTGGAATCTGTTTCCTTCAGTTTCTATTTTCCTCAGGTACAATATTACATATTTTTTTTAGTGACCTCCAGAAAGCATTGTGTTTCTATGATTTCATCACATAATGGAGGAAACCAGTAAAATACAATAAAAGTGTGTCATTCAATTGAGATGAAAACACAGTGGAGAATCTTACCTTAGCTGCCTTTTCTTGTATATCATATTGATTGCCCCTTGGTAGTTTAAGAAGCTATTTTAACACTGACCTTCCTTCTATTGTTTGATTCAAGACACTCACTTTCATAAAACGAGCTATTTATGGGACCTGGCTATCATTCTTGAACTGATGCCAGATTTTTGTGTAAAGCTAAACCTTGACAGAGAGCATTTTATTGTTCAACTGACTTGGCATAATGCAAGGGTGGAGAACTTAAAATGTTAAGAAGTGACAGGAGAAGAAGGGTAATTGTTAGTACGCTTTTTCCAAGCTACTGTAACAACAATATTGATGGAGAAGAACGGATAATTTAATGCTAGGATTAAAAGAAAAGATACGAAGACTTTAAGTGATGCGAAGTAGTTTCTTTTGTAGTTCTATCACCATGCCAGCTAGATGCTTCTCTTTTTAACTTTAAAATGTCTCCACTTCTGCAAGCTTCTGTATTCTGAGAAGCTGGGCACCTAGCTGCCACCTAAGCTCCTGAAGTCCTTGAGGCTGATAGACACTGAGTGCATGGAGGACAGGGTAGATCCCTCACAAAACTGTACCATGAAGGTCTAAAGCAGAAACCATCCCAATCTCAGCAGAGTCAAAATAGATCTTCCATCTCGTAAAGCAGCACTATTCTAGCTTAGTACCAGCCATGCTGGGAGTAAAAGAAAACCCAACAGGCTACACTGCTGCCCAGTCTCTAAACACCCAGGTTTATTTCTTTTTCTTCTGTAGCTGTTCAGTGTCTCAGTAAACTGTATCAAAGCATCTTTACTGTATAGAAATTAAGATGCTATGTGCTTGGTTTTAAGCTCTTACTTAAGACCAAGTATTTCAGCTTGTGAGTACCTGAATTCAGCATTCATTTTGGCCATTAATCAAGTGCACAATTATTATTAAGTAATACTTAAATTTCACAACAACTTCAACATCTTGTAAAATTTTGAAATGGATTCATTTAACCTTATGTCCTTGAGGATTATTGCTGCTTCTTTTCAGCTTTTTTCAATTTGTGGAACCCTAAATATTTTCCAGGAGGAGGAGCACATTCTGTTGCACACTACAGCGTATACAGATTGCAGCATGTATGAGTTGACCTTTTAGTCGCTCCTTGTGAAGTCTGCAAGCTATCCTGCAGAATGCAGGGTCTGTGGACCATGTTCCAAAAGCCATTTTCTCTTAAGAGAAAGTGTTCTCTTTTAGGAGAGCATTTTTGTATATGTTCTTCAGATACCTCAATGACTTTGAGAGGATTACTTTTATAATTAATCTCTCAGTCAGCAAAGGGTGGAGCTACTGTTTGCAAATGTCTCTGAACTGATAGCAATTCTTATGTATGTGTTCCCCAACTTGAGCTTTTTTGTCTGGAAAGTTTGTAAGTAAAGTTCTTTGTTCACTTCTGTTGAAAGGGAGATGGATGTTACTTGATTTCTGGTTTGAACCTTAAATAATGGAATCCCTGTCTTCCAGGGATATTTCACACTGCTGAATTGTACTGTATTTCTAATGTCTGAAAAGAGGTCAAAGATCAAAACTTGATCAAAAAACACTTCAGCGTCCTGCGAAGTTGTACATAAATGCCTATCTTGAAATTCAAAAAACCAAGGGTCACTGTTGTCTTATTAGAAAAAAAGTTGGACAATCTGAGTTCATTGCTTCTGAGGGAGACCGGTGTTGAGGGCTTCAGCTTCCTGTTGGTGAAGACATAATTCAGGTGAAGGAGCAGTAGATTTAGTAGAACTTTGCTCATTAAAGAATCTGAGAGAAATAGGACAACTTCCAACATGCAAGTGACCTAGACTTTAAATTGCAGGCCTGATAGTTGTCTCATTGCAGCATGGTTTCTTTCAAATCAGAAACTCAAGAGCATGGTGTAAAAAAAAGTTTGCAATAGCACCGTGCCATCCTTTTGTTCTCTTTATCTGACATTTAATTCATTTTTCCAGGATATCTGTGTCAGAGGAGGTGAGTGGGTATAGATGAACGTGGCTTTGTTGTGAAGCATTAGCAGAGGAAGGGGCTAAAGGTCTAGTTTTTGGTGGAGGGAAAAGAGTAGATATTAAAATGCAAGCTTTTCTTTTAAGGACAAGACAAAGCTTAGGTGCTTAGAACAATCTCAGATGCTTTCTTTAAAGCTTACGGTATCTCTAATAGCTTCAAAGTAGAAACTGAGGAGCACTGTGAGTTGATCCTTCTGCTCCACACCTGTGCTGTGCAGGCCAATGAATGTTCACATATTTATGTGTGCCTAGCTATGACTGTGGTAGTTCTCTTCTGATCTTTGCTATTTTATGTATTAAGCTTTTTTTTCCACTTCCAATAACTGTTAATTATAATTTGTCCTGTTTCTTTCTCTTCCAGGATTCAACCAGTATTGTTGCTGCTCTCTTTATAGACATCAAAAGTTCTTTGCTTGCTCATCTACCAATCGAATTCCATACCCGAGACAACTTTTTGATGATTGCACTTTTCCCTAAAACAAAGATTTATAAGGCTTTTTATTCACAGGTAAAGTAAAAAAAAAAAAAAAAAAAAAAAAAAAAAAAAAAAAAGATTGGTTTGGGTGGGGGGAAAACCACACAATTTTTCTATGTGGCAAGGGTGAATTTGTTGATGTCTGTCTTAACTAATTAATTTTGGAAAGAAGAAGGGATTTATTGCTCATGTTAGTTAGTCCACTGAAGCTTGTTACCTGAAAAATAAATACAGGAAAGGTTAAAGTTCAGCTTCTTTTTCTCATCAGTCTTCACAAGTTAAACCTTTTCGTATATTTCTGTGATCAATCACAGTTTGGAAAGGAGAAGGGGCAGTTAATGCTGAGGGAGCAACAAGTTAGGAAAAACATTGAAAACCTCTGTGAAGCTGGATGGGATTCACGGAGGGTCTTGAGAGAGATGGCCGATGTGATTTTGAGGCTCCTTATCCTTTTTATAAAATCGGGGTGTTGCAGTAGGAAGGACTGTTACAGATAGCTTTTTCAGTAGTGGCAGATAACATATCAAGGGGCGGTAACCGTGGGTTGCAACTTTGAAGATTCAGACTGAATGTTAGTAGGAGGCTGGTGCAGTGACTGGAACAGGTCACCCAAACCAGTGGATCTCCACCGTTGGAGATTTTGAAAACTTGGCTGCACAAGATGATGGCTGAGCTGACCTGTACTGCCAGCAATAGTTCCTACTTTGAGCAGGAGGTGGGTCTGGAGACCTCCAGAGGCTCTCTTCCAACCAGAGACTCTGCTTCTCTGTGTGACCTTATGGCATCTACCTTGCAGGCTTGAGACTGTCACAGACTGCCCTGCCATGTAGGTCTTCCTAGTCGTGCCCATGCGCATGATTGCTCCTGATCTTAGGACCTTGCATGTGTGAGGAACTGTAACTTATGTATGCATTTCTAGTGATTGTGTTGCTTGTGAAGTTTAATGCTCACCATGTGCTTTCATTTTGTCTTCTGAAGCCAGTGAGTGCTCTAAAAGCTTGTTTTCTAGTAGTTGCATTTTGAATGTAGCACTGCTGTATAATTGGCTACAGCAATTGTATGTAGTGGCAGAGGTTCTATTGTGTTTTTTTGTGGTTAGACACATTTGGATCGTGATCCTTAGGGAAGTTTTGTTAAAGTCTTTAAGTATCCCATATGGTATTGTATTATTCTCTAAGTAGATTGGCTTCATGCATTGTAATGCAGAGGCTTTTAATAAACAAAACTTTATAACAATAGCACTTTTGAGGAAATGAGCTTGGAGATTTTAGGACTTCACAAGGGGTTTAGTATGCGATCATAACGCTGGACTGGAAAAGACCACCTAGCTCAGTGAGTAGTCCCCACTGGTATTATTAATGTTACCATAAAATTCCTCCACCTTTTATCTTAAGCGTTTAGATTCCTCCCACTGTTCCTCTATGAGAGTGATTGGGAATATTTTATTTGCTTTTGAATTTTCAGCCCGTTTTTTTAGGTCTACTTTTTAGTCTGGTTTTTTTTTTTCTTTTGCTCTACCAGTGGCCATCCTTGAGGTATTCAGAATTTTCAGAACTATTCTTTCTGGCTTATTTAGCCTCATAGATTAAAAAGGATCTGGTTTTATTTTATGCTTATAAAAAGTTCTCTTTTTCTCTGATCCTTGTAATACTTTTCTTTTGATCTGTTTATTGTCTGTAGATTTCCAGACTATGTGTAGTATCTGAGATTGTTTCTTGTACAAGAAACAAACAAATAAGTTCTCTCTTCTGAAAACATTCAGAGATACCCTTGGTTTGCCTTTACTTTTCACTGCTGCCTTGAATTAATAGATTGTGCTCATTTTTTGAGAAACTCCTTCAGGTCCTTTCTCTTTTGCTACCCACTAATACACCAGCTGACTGTAGTCATACTTGCTTTCCTCCTATTTTTCTTTCTGTTTCTTCAGTTCTTACAGTTAATCTGTTTTTCTTTGAAGCATCTCAAGGCTGTGTAGACTGTCCTCTCAACATAGTTCCCCAAAATGCTGCCAATTCACTTCAGTCTGTGCCAAATTCATTGCAAAGGGTGTCATGGGGCATTCCCTAAGCAACTCTGCTGGTGCATGTCTCCAGCCTTCTGCTTTTTACAGTGCTATTTAGACCTGTCCTCCTTTGAGTTAGCTTTTTGCCAAACAGTTCTGTACTGACTTTCAGTTTCTGCAGTTCAACAGTTTCTCATCTGGCACCATACCAGTTACTTTGCTCAAGTTCAAGGAGATGAAACATGTCTTTTCTCTTGAAAATGTTATCTCATGAATGAAAACTATTCATAAGATCAACTGTACCTGTGTATGTAAGCCATGGAAACATGTTATTGTGTTTTGTTAGTATTTACCTTCCGGTATTTATTGATTTCCTCCAAATTTTTTTCTAAAAGTCTGCATGCCATCGGAGTCACAGAGAGAGTAGTCATTCTACAGACCTGTAGTTACAAAGATTCACTAAAATGTAGGCGCTAATTTTATGCTTCTCCGATCATATGGCATGATTCCTCGCTTACAAGACCTAGGCTTTAATTATTCCAGGCCTCCTTGAAACAGGGAACAGGGAATTACCTGTTCCTCCAGGTCTATTAAATTCCATGTAACTGAGATGTTGGCAAGATTTTGAGCACACAGAACTGGAATCTGGTTTGCACATCCTGCGAAGACAGGACAGTACCTTTCACGTCCTCACTCTAATTGGGAGCAGGCAGATTTGCTTTGGCTTTGGGATGTATTACTTCTCTGGTTTTCTTCACCTTCTCTAATGCCATAGCAGCACTTATTTAAAATGTTCATTAAGTTATACAAAAAGGACCGATTTATTTCCTTTGAGTTCTGTCTCAGTCTGACCTGTGTTTTCACTTTATCCCTAGCCCTTTTGCCTTCTACAGAATACCATTTTCTGTTGACCAGTTCTTCTTTCCATTCCTTGTAGGCATTTTCCTTAGTCTCTTGTATGTGTTTTGAAGTGGTTGGTTGCCTGGATCCTTCTTCACAAGCAATATTGTCTTTGTTAATATCAAAAGTTTATTTTATTTTGATGTTTTTTATCTCCGTACCCTTGTGTTTAGGATGCCGATTTGTTAATGGAAAGCAGTCTTCCCCCCCCGAGTTGTTTTGTCTTGCAGCAAATTATTGTGAAAAATGACAATGGCTGTTGCCTTTACTTATTAAAAGAAGGGAAATACCGAACACTTAAATGACTCTGTGATTCATCTGAATCTGATTTCTAGGTTCATAGTGCCATTCATATTAATGTGACTTGGCTAGGGCAATAGGATGTGAGCCAGAACGCTGTTCCCTAGAGAAACGAAGGGCTCCCTTTTCTTTTGCGAAGGAACAGAGTTTTTCTTAAATTTCTAGAAATGATTGCTGTAATCTTAGCTCATGAAAATTACAATACTACTTAAAGGAGACTTAATATTAATTCAGTTCCTGCTGTACTGCAGTTTGGACTATAAATAGTTAGCATATGCTTTAACTAAAAGATACACGTGACTATTACTGTTACATTGGTGGGTAAATTTTTTGCCTAGCTATGAAGGTGTGAAGGTGGGGGAAAACTAGACCATTTCAGTAATGTTATTTCTTAAAGCAGTTCCAGTGTAGCCAAAGCGAAGCTTACAAAATCTGATCTGTGGCGATTTCTTCCATATTTTGAATTCTTGCAGCAAAACCAGTGTTGTGAAATATTTAATGGCTAGCTAAAATGCATGTATTTTTTTAGGTTAACAAAAACAATTCCTAAACAAATTAAAAACAAATTTTGCAAAATTATGATGCTTATGCAGAGGTCTGGTTTGTTCCAGGTTTTCTCTTTGTGGAAAAACCAGGCAAACTCAGGATTATCTTTAAAGGTTGTCCAGGAAGAATTCCTGTCTGTGGAACAAAAGAGACTGTAAGTTCACGGCACTTATTCCAGTGTAATTATACATTAACTGTGTCCTACAGTCAGAAAAATGTCACTTATTGAACATTTTTGATAACCGTTCAAAAAGGATTTGCTGCATTCTTAGTGCAATGTTCACTTTTTTGTACTAGTTACTGTGTAGCAGTCTGGTTTAAATAATGTAAATTTCTAGGTTTCTTTTTCAACTAACCAATTGATTAATTTGCTCCTTTTAGGCATGCCAATGTTCAGAAGCTGTTTAATGCGTTGTCTTTTCCTTCTGGGGAAAGATGCAGGGAGCTGAAAATATCTGCTGCCCTTCCAGAATTAGAGAGGTGAGAAATTATTTTTGTTTCCAAGGGATCAGTTTTGTCAGAAATAATGCAAAAATATTTTGGTGTATATAATACTCATCTAAAAATTGCTTATTTAATAACTCTGTCTTCACACTAGATATTTTTATTCTGAGATTAATTATTTTCTCTCTAGGAGGCCTCTGTTTGACCTTTTAACAGTCTTATTTTAGTAGTTTCCCAACTATTTATATGAATGAAATCTTTTGGTCTTGATTGTAAAAAAATAAAACTTTTATTTTTGAAAGGTTTGTGCAACATTTTACGGTCAGCAGCGTCAGTCACGAGCCAGTGATGAGGGCACATCTTCCTATTTTATTGCAACAGTCAGAAATCGTTCCTGATAGCGAAGCAGAAAGTGATAAGGTAAGGAAGCAACCCCACAATACTTCCTATCCTTAGTATAGACTGTTTAGCAAATATTCTGTCTGTCTTTGTGTTGCAGACAATGCAGTAAAGTACTGATGTATGTTTAACTGTGCTCTCTGCCTTCTTCTCCAATACCACCAGTTCACACTGAACTTGCTTCAAGTCTGTTTCTTAGAATAAATTGCTCTGCCCTGTTTTTCTGACTACATGACTTAATTTTTTTTTCATTTAAACAGTCTTTTGGAATTGCTAATGGCCCTTCAGCCTGACACAATAGAGGCAGAAAATGAGGCATAGATCTTCAAGTGAACAGTTTTCTCTAATGTCCAGAGAGAGTTAGCCCTAAAGCAGTAGCTTGTTTTTATGAATTGCTGAATAATTTAACTGAATTGTTCTCTGGAACATAAAAGTCCTTTAAATAGCATAGAGGTAGCACATGATATTTAACATTTGCTGATATTATCTGTAGAACACTCAGTTCTCTATAGGGGCAATAACAATTGTCAAACTTAAGGAGTGCTTTAAATAACATTTTCAGAGAAAATATTTCATTGTAGCTTTCCAACATTTGAAATCCGCTGTAAGCAAGAAAGTCAAAGCAGCAGGAA